TCGAGATATTAGAAGATTTAACGCTAAATGAGTGAAGATCTTAATTTTTTTATACATTATAGAGCTCCACCACACTTTTATAGAAGGTGTCTCTGATTCATTGGCCTCGTCGGTTGGAAAAAATCAGACTAGTTTTAATTGAAAAAAAAGAGCTCTTTAAACTAAACTTCAAATATCAAAAAGAAACAAAAGGACAAAAATTTAATGATACATCAACTAGAAAATGAAAAATAGATAGATTATCTTAAGAAAATGGTTAACATATTCCCAATTTTTAAATTATGTTTTCTGTTTTTGTTGTAACATGTTTGTGACTGCAAAATCTAGTAATTTTACTGTAGGATGTAAATAATAGGGAGAATTGGAGAATTATCGAAAGCTTTGCACAAATATGAAAAAAGCACTAATCACATGAAAAACTTTCTTAAATGGAAAGAATTAAAAATAAATATAAGGAATGGATGGGCAAGAAAAGTTTGTTGAATAGGTAAAAGAGTTTCGCATACTATAATTTGCTATGCATTTTCAGGTCTTAAGGTACATGGTAAACTAAATGATGCTGGTACAAGAATTATTTACACCATGATTTAGAAAACATAGTGCAAACTATCCTGGTTAGCTGGTGGCGGGCGATCATTGGTTTTATTGTAACTGTTTAAAATTAGAGAGAAAGGTCTTGAGGGAAGAAATACTAACAAATAAAATAGGAAGTAGGTATTGTGTAATTGTTGAAATTAATGTGAAGATTATTTACATTTATTCAAGGTATATTTTGGAAATGTGTGTTAATTTATTGAATTATTTATTAAAAACCTACAGATCTATGATAATACATAAAGGTAGATGTATAATTTGTAGGTGTGCAATAACTCCAACTTGTAATTATCAAATTATGATAAATTGATTTGGTCTCTTTTAGGGCAGAAATTTTGTGATGTCAAAATAAATTTAAATTAAAATTAAAAACACTTAAAGACACTAAGGGGCAAACAAAACACATTCAAAAAGACACAACAGACATTTTACTTAGTGGTACTACATTATTTGTAGGAGAGAAACTGACACAAAAGGCTAGTTTTTTGTTGTCTAATAGATTTTCATTTTAAGAGGTAAAATTATTACCTTAAATAATAATGGTTAAATAATTTTAATAATTATTAAATAATTACAATAAAACCAATGATCACCCGTCACCAGCTAACCAGGATAGTTTGAACTGTTTACTAAATCTTGTATTGGCATCATTTAGTTTACCATGTACCTTAAGACCTGAAGATCCTTATCAAATTATAGTATGTGAAACTGGTTGTTGGTGGTAGAATTAAGTAAATAGATTGTGAGTAAGTCTTATTCTTATTTCTTTTACCTATTTGAAATGGACTCACACAGGCAACATATTAAAGATTTAAAAAATTGTGGCTTTAGAATAAGGAAAATAAAAAATCAGTACAAGATAATAACGGTAAAAAAAATTTTTACACAGCCTATAAAAAACATAGAAGTTAATAAATGAATAAATATTCCTTTATAGGTATATAGTTTACTAAGAAATGGGTGAGTTTGTCTTTTCAGCATAAATAAATATGTATGCTAAAAAGCAAAAAAATAAATATTAGCAACACAAATTCACTTATTGAGAAGTTGGTGTGATGTAACAGAAACAGGAATAATTATGGAGGAAAAATATGACCAAGAAATATGAGAAGAGTTTCATTGCAAATATACAAATTTGTTGAAAATTTGGTTAAGGTGCAGATTACGGAGATACACTCATTACATTACAGAGATTACAGAGATACACTATCGGAAGAAATAAGAGTAAGGCTGAGTAGTCTTACTGAAAAACAAAGGCATAACAGCATCAGGAAAGCCGAAGAACACCATTAAAATGTATGGAAAATGCTGAAAGCCAAAAGAAGAAGGAAACAAAAGATGCCACAAATCATTGACAACAAGGGAACACACTATGAAACCCAAGGAAAAGTGGATGCTATTGCAAGAAGATTGGCAGCTACACACAAGAAAAATCAGGACATGTCGGACGCAAGAACAAGACAAGAAGTGGACAACGAATACAACAGGATTATAAGAAGAAACGATTTCCTAGTAGAAGAAGACTTCGCCAGTCCATACGAAGTAGCAAAAATCATCAGGAGACTCAAAGCAAACAGAGCACCAGAACAAGAAGGAATCCACAACATCACCCTCAAGGAACTCCCAAAGAAGGTTATAGTACAACTGTACTATATCTTCAAATATTGCTTGGAAAAAGGACACTTTCCAAGCAACTGGAAACATGCGAAGATAATCCCACTTCTAAAACCTAGGAAGGATGGAAGAAGACCGGAAAATTACAGGCCTATTTCTCTCCCAGAAACAATGGGAAAAATTTATTTATTTATTTATATACGGCATCCATTTACTTACAATTTTTACAAAGTTACATCTTAAAAACAATATATTATTAAAATAACAATCACAAGTTTTAAAAAGTTACACCTTAACAACAATAAATTATTAAAATAACAAACACCTCAGAATAATACAAATATATAAGAATAATACAGATGTACAACCAACTTATTGTAAGATATTTTTTAGTTGTTTTTTAAACAAACTAATTTTGGAGTCAAAAATATCTATTTGTCTTGGCAAGCTATTAGCACTCCGGACCAATCGTGTAGTTGGTTCATTGATACCATAATTAGTGTGGTGAAATGGCACCGAAAAGATTTCTGATTGTCTGTTGCTTCTACTAGGAACTTTAAGACTAACAAGCGATAAGAGTTGAGGACAATCTATAAAAGCATTGATAACTTTGTGTAAGAAACATAAATCCAACAATGTCCTCCTTGACTCAAGTGTTGGTAAGTTAAGACTATCTCTTACCCACTGATAGTAGTATTCCTCTCTCCTGTATCCACTCTTATAGGCTGCTACCCTCAAAAATTTATTCTGGACTCTTTCAATCTGTTGAATGTAACAGTGGTATGATGGGGACCATACAACTGATCCAAACTCAAGAATGGGCCTAACGAGACCACAATAAAGTCTTTTAAATGTAAATAAAGACAGATCCACAGATGTGCGTTGGATAAATCCCAGCACTTTCATCGCTCTGTTTGTTACTTGGTTAATGTGGCTTGATAATGACAGTTTGGTGTCTAACCAAATTCCCAAATCTAATACTTCATTTTTCGAGGCTAATGGCAAGTTATTTATGTAGTAAACAAATGTAATTGGATTTCTTTGCCTCGAGAATGTCATTTTATGACATTTGTTTATATTTAGTGACATTTTGTTTAAAGTGCACCAATCATAAAACGATTTAAGATCTTCCTGTAATATAACAGCATCATTCCAGGATTGAATTTTTCTAAACAGTTTTACATCGTCAGCAAACATAAGAACACTACAATTTTTGATTTGTTGTACTAAATCAATCAGAAACAAGCAAAACAATTCTGGAAAAAATCATCTTCAAAAGACTGGTGAAGCACACAGAAAGAAGAAAAATTATCCTAGAAGATCAATTTGGATTTAGAAGAGGAATGAACTGCGAACTCCAATTAGCAAGAATAATCAGTGACACGAAGATAAAGTTTAACAGGAAACAAAAGACAAGACTAGCCATACTGGACATAGAAAAAGCATATGACACCGTTTGGAAAAAGGCACTAATCTTCAAAATGGATAAAGCTAGACTTCCACACTACTTAATCAACATTTGTGACAAGTATTTATCTAATAGAACTTTTCAAGTTTCAGCTGACGACCAAAAGATGTCAACACTTCAAGAAATTCAGAAAGGAATGCCTCAGGGCAGCATTTTATCTCCAATACTACACAATATTTTTGTTTCAGATCTCCCAACAGATCCTCGAACTTCAACAGCCCTATTTGCAGATGACACTGCAGTGTATGCATCCGGAAAAGATGAAAGAAGAATCATCCGAAACATGGAAAACCACTTAGGAAAAATCACGGCGTTCACAGAGAAGACCCAATTCATCATGTTCTCACAGGATACGAGACCACCAGAGTACAAGACCACAGTAGGAGGAAATAGGATCCAGGTAGCAGACACAGTCAAGTACCTAGGAGTCCACCTCAACAGAAGACTCAACTTCCGGATGCATACACTAAAAACTAAGGTAAAAGCCAATGTAGCTAAAAAACTAATACTTCCCTATATTTTCAGGACCAGCCCCTATCGAAGGCCAAGAAGATCCAGTTATACCAGACCTACGTTAGATCAGTGATTTTGTATGCAGTCCCAGTCTGGAGTTCAATAGCAGAGTCCAACTGGAAGAAACTTGAATCAACTGAAACATCGTGTTACCGGATCATAGAAGGAACATCTTGGGAAGAAAGAATCACGAATGCAACCATCAAAGAAAGGCTCCAGTACACACCACAGAGGGAGGTGGCTGAGAAAACGACCACATATTTCTTCCACCAGGCCACAAGAAGACTCCGTAAGACCAGGGACATCCTTGAGAAGAACAGGATCCAGAGGATGCATAGATACACCCACAAACTGATCGACCATCTGATCAGGGTCTAGTTAGATGGTTGCCGGAAAACAGCCAAGCAGGGAAGTAGGTACGATGCCAGAAAATAGTACCTACAGAAGAAGTTGAGGAAACCACCCATAGAAGTCCAGGATGCTGAGAGGGAGAAAACATCAAAAGCTGACAGTACAAAAGCGGGACATCGAAAGAAGAAAGGCTAAAATACACAAAATGAAATGTCATATATTATTAGGCAATAAATGTTTTTATTTTTTTTTTATTTTTTATTATAGGTGCAGAAAATATCCAAAGATAAAATGAGTGAAAAATTTATTTTGAACAACAAATACTATCAATTTTTGAACACAAACTGAAATTTAGTGATCATAAAAATGTCCAAGTAAGTACCAATACTACTTACAAAATTCAAATGCATTTATACTATAGAATAACTACTCTTATGAATAAAAACAAAAAAATACTCACCTAATATATATTTGGATCCTAATTTTCTGAGATTTCTGAATTGATGATAACTGTAAAGAATGGCAAGACATCTGATTATTGTCATCACTATTACATCGGCCGCTATAAAATGATCTTCAGTGCAGGTGCTACATGTTGAGGTAGTCCGTGGGAAGGCCTTTGTCCCTTGGGGTTTATCCAAAGTCAAAAAACATACAGTAAAGGTTATTACAGTAAATATAACTTCCCATGGGTGAGTTGCACAAAGTTCCCCGTATAACGCAAAAATCTTAGACATGTTATGTTGGCGAAATAGTTTTACTTAATAAACATTATAAACAAATTAAAATCATTTTATAGATGATAAAATGATGTAATGGGTGACGTTAGGTGGTAATAATCAAAGTCACTTTATTGGTTATAATTTTTTAAAAAGACAAATGTCAGTTTGAATTCCAATATTGCCATGTCAACATTATTTCGTTAAGTACCTTAATTTTTAATACTGGATGAGTGAAAATGGCTTACACAAATGCAGGTTGTTACGACAAAATGCGCTAATATCCAATCATAAAAGCAACAGAATACTCTACTGATAGTAACTTATAAGTTGACCATATTAACTCAACTAATATAAAATCCAGTTAGTTTAAATTTTGATCATGTATCTGTTTAAAATATCTGTTTTAAATTACTTCAATGGCTGCTGTAGGTAAAAAAATATTTATTTGGTAACAAATATTACATAATATTTCTATGTCTTTAAATTAATAATACATAATGTTATTTAATTATTTTTTGTCAACCAATAACCAGTAACTTTGAAGATTTGATTTCGAATTATCTACAGTATTCAGTCTACATATTATTTTTTAATAAAAGATCCGATTACAGATAAAAATAATATAAAAAGGCAAATAAACGTGTGGCTCATTGTACTAACAAATTTCCTTGTTTTATTATACTTTTGAGAATCTAATGTTAATATACAAAGAACTATACCACCATAATTTCTCAAGCTATATCCTGCCGAAAAATATAGAGTTAAATTTGGCAATGTAGGAGGCCGCAATTTGACAAATTAATACGTTCTTAAGCATGCCATCTGTAGGATAATTATAGCAATATATTTTAACAATCCATATTCAGAATGAAAGGAAACTTTACAATTTTTTTTAGAACTTTAACTTGTGTGTGTAATTTATAATATCATCAGATCTAGAGACTTAGAGTCATTTGAGTACCGATTTCAATTTCCTATATTTAAATTAGGTATTTTAATATTGTTCCGAAGGTATTTTCTTGTGGCATAATAATACAATTTAGTCTTTTTATTGAAAAAGCGTCACAATTTTGTTTTAAAATAATTTTATTTTGACGTTTAGATTTCCACCACAGATCACCTACCTCCCACAGTTATTAGTGGTCTGTGATTTCCACTTAGAAAATGTTTCTTAAAATACAAAACATTACGTTTTGTATTTTGAGGATTTCGGAAGAAAAACAAACGAAACTTCAAAATAAATTTATATTAGGGTAAAATTGTGACGTGTTCCAAAGAAAATAAATTAAAGTATTTTAAAATCCCCGCAGGATAGAAAGAAATATATATTTTATAATCTTTCGTAGGATGTCGTCCCCTTTTGTTTCTAAGTTGCGCCATATGTAGGCAACTTACAGTGTTGCAGTGTTTTGCTTAAACAAATTATTATTTTCAAATTAACAGAAATCAATTTATTATTTCTAACATAATATTTTATAAAGTCCAAACTATCCACTGTTTACAAATCTTAATAAATCACGCTACATTATACGTACAATTATTAAATCATACATGGATTACTCATATTGCCTTTGTTTAATGCAGTAAAATTAGAGATTAAGTATCATTATCAATGTCCATTAGCAAAAGTCTGTCTTTTACTCTCGTCTATGTCATACCACTCGCTATATTTGTTAAACTTACTTAGTTACAGTTCAAAATCACTTGATGTATTTGCCATATTTAAAAAATATGTTAAATTGATACACACTAAATAAAAATTGAACACTGCAAATATAGGAATAAAACAAGATTTAAATTTATAAACTAAAAAAATATGAACATTAGATGTGGCAACGGGATTTCTCTGTTGGGAAAAGCATTTGTCAAACTTATTGCAAATATTATTAGCAATAATTATAAACAAAAAGTAATATTTTGCAAATATAACAATCTCAAGTTACCGTAGGTACCTGATAGAATTATATTAAGTAATATATTTAGTTAGATAGAATGTGATAATGATTGAAATTACAGTGTTGTGTTATAATTTATCATTTATTAAATATCAAAATCTTCTGAAGTTTCACTTTACCATTTTTGTTAAATATATAGTTAAGCAAATGATCTTTATAAAGCTTTATATTCTAAATAGATATAATTATTAAACGGAAGTAAATAAGATGTAAGGTGTAATTATAAGATGTAATGATTAATCTAATGTCTTAATGTTGGTGAACATGTTTATAATTTATAATGCCAGTTGTCAAGTGTCAATAGCGCCACCTTCCGTTCTCTTTGAAAGAATTTTGCTTCTTTGACCACGTTTTTCTGAACCAAGTTTTTCGCTTTTGGTAAGTTTGGGAATATTTTTGAAGTATATTGTGAAAATTAACATATTTTTAATGGTTTAACGATAAAATATAAAGTGCATAATAATTATAAACGTTAAACGTATTTTGTAGAAAACATGGGTCGCGTACGTACCAAGACAGTGAAGAAAGCCTCCAAAGTCATCATTGAAAAATACTACACACGTTTAACTTTAGATTTCCACACAAACAAGCGCATCTGCGAAGAAATCGCAATTATTCCAACAAAACCTCTACGTAATAAAATTGCAGGATTTGTCACACATTTGATGAAACGTCTTAGGCATTCACAAGTAAGTTTTTTGTGTTTCAAATCTTATATTTTAATGCGATTTTCAGTAAAATAGCAGTAAAATGTAATAATAGATTAGTTATGTATTTATAACAATAACACCAATATTTTTAATGTTACCTCCTTTTAATGTTACCTCCATGACTCATAACTAATACCTGTATTATATTTTGCTTTAGTTCTGAACTGTTATTTTTATTGTCTGCTTGTTATTTTCGAATTCTAATCTATGTCAGTTGGTACAAAGGTCTTATGACCAAGTGCCAGATATTACAAGTGTTTAGCTTCTTCTGAACTATGAAGATGCATGTCAGTTTTGATTGATTAAAATTAATCTGTATGCTTTCATTAAATTTTTTGAGAATGAAAGACTAGTATCGATTGTTGCTTTTATTTGTAATATTTTGAATTAGAAAGCCAACATGTAAATCCTAGGTGGTATGGATCGCATTATTATATTATATTGATTCCTCTAGAAAAATGACTTGGTGCAACAACAGAATCTGTCAAAAAATTAATTTTCGGGGCAAACTTGCTAGGAGATAATATTGAAATTTTAACATATGTATTAGTAAACTCAATTCATGGAAATATTGATATGATCAATATTGTTGAACAAAGATGTTCTCATTTAACGAGTGGAAAATTGGATGCTCATATTGTTTGATGTTTATTAACAGATAATAATGCGTGGATTAAAATAAAGTGGAATGTTAAATCAATTTACTTTTTTGCACATTGGTTAATGTTATAACATGTTATATCTTAAAATATTAGAGTAAAGGGAACTCTTAATTAATTTTTGACCAATTTATTTTATATTTGCAGGTGCGTGGAATTTCCATCAAATTGCAAGAAGAAGAACGTGAAAGACGTGATAATTATGTACCAGAAGTCTCTGCTCTTGAACATGATATCATTGAGGTTGATCCAGAGACCAAAGAAATGTTGAAAATGCTTGATTTCAACAATATCAGCGGATTGCAGTTAACACAACCAGCTACAAACACATTCAACAGACGTTCTTAATTTTTTTTATAATGTAATTTACATTTAAAATAAATACAAAGTATTTGTACAGTTCTGCATTTTTTAATGTTTTAAATCATACTATAATAATTGTTTAATTACTAAGACAGATATTCATGGCTTCATATTTCATGGATTTAAATAGATTTTGGCCTTTCTTCACCCTAAAAAATGAAATACTTGTTATAAAATTTAGATTTACTAAAAAACAATATTTATATAATATGCATATTCAACAAAATACTTTCAGAAAACATAAGATTAGTGATGGGCGAAATGACTCATTTGAATGTTTCGAATCATTTGAATTAACTCATTGTGATGTTTCGAAACATTGAAACAATTGACACATTCTACCCGATATTGTAACTTCATATCAACTCATTTTGGGTTCCTATGCAAAGATATATTTCGTGTAGACTGCCGATTCATTTTCTGTAAGGCACGTGGCAGCAATGTGATTGTTAAAGCATTGTGAGGATTTCTGAACGATTAGGGATTTGAGCTTGTTAGGCACAAATTTATTGTTTTAGGTCTTAAGTGTAGGTTAAAGACGTTTAGTCTGGTTTTATTTAATTAGATTTTTTTCTGGGTGGTAATCATTACCATTTTTAAATGAATACTTATCATTGCCAGAACGAAAATAGGTACATGCTACATGGTGTTATTTACATTAAATACTTTGAAATAAAAATGACATTTTCATTATTACAGACTGAAATATAGAAATTTTTAACATTTTTATAGTTAAAAACAACATTTAAATCAACTTAAAACAACTGTGATCGTTTCAAACTTAAAATCAGTCAGCAGTTAACCACTTGTTCTATAAGTTTTAAAATTTTTCCGACTGCTAATACCATTGATTTACGATGAACAGCACAGCAACACAGTATATACCGAACAACGAGACAGTCGACATGATTTTTGGAGTCGACACGATGACACATACTGACTCGATGTTTCGAAACAGTAAAGATTTACAATGAACAGCACAGCAACACAGTATATACAGAAGAACGAGAGAGTCGACGTGATTTTTGGAGTTGACACGATGACACATACTGACTCGATGTTTTGAAACAGTAAAAGTTTAATGTACCGAAACATTGAAACAGTTCTGTGACTCAACTCATTGCTTCGAAACATCGACTCACTAGCCAACACTACCTAAGATCCCACTGCAGGATCGCTATGTTCATAATGATGTAGTTAATGAAACTCATTTTAAATAATTTAAAACTGGGAGAATACATTAATAATAGGTGGCTACAAATATTTTTAATAAAATTTTTATTTCGCTTATTTTTAAAATAAAATGGGCTGCTTATGACCTTAATGCATGTTTTTTTATCAATTAAAGCTAATTTTTTTCTTAATAAGATGATACAAGGTTGCCTGAGAAAAAATGGCCAAAAATATGTTGTTAGCAGTTAAAAATGTGCGGCATCAAAGATAAAATAGACAGCTGCAATATTACTGTTGTGAAGTATCAGTTGTCTGAGATTTAGCATGCGTTGATAAATATATAACATTATAAATATCACTTTATCAACTCAGTGCTGTTGCACCCTAACTATATTTTACTTTATCTTTGATACCTCATGTTTTTAACAGCAAGCAACATTAATCGTCATATTAAGGAAAAAAATTACCTTTAATTTGATATAAAAAAACATGCACATACGTCATGAGTAGCATATATTATTAACAAAAATTAATTTCTATTAATTGAATTTGTTTCATATCAAAACTAAAAAAATTTCAACTCAATATATCCCTCAATTAAAGTATTCTCATATTTTGAGAATGTTTTTGTTTACTTTTAATAACTGGTACAAACAGTGGATAAGGTTTCTATCAGAAGTCAAAATCAACTACCACAGTTACATAAAACAATATTTAGCACAAGGCTCTTGTGGGTGAACAGTGATAACAAATATACCAAGAAATGGACTGTTCAAGTCAGGAGGTTACATGAAGAGATCAGACTTATCTGTAGTCAATTACAATAAAATGCCAAGCCATGGTTTATGTCCCTGAGAAATGACTGATTATCATGACTTGCCTAAGGTAGCAAAATCCAGACTTTATGAAGTGGATTGGTTATTAGGACAAAATTGGAAGATCTTTAAGATGGACATACAGGTTTTTGATCAATGATATCTAATAAAAACCATTGAAGCCTGCTCATTTATAGGTATATTCTTCTTCTTCCAATGGCGCTACAGCCCAAATTGAGCCTTGGCCTCCTGTAACTTGTGCCTCCAACAAAGGCGATCCCGCGCCACTCGTCTCCAAGCCCTGACGTTCAATAAGTAGTGCGCATCTGCTGTGACTTCGTTCTCCCATTTATTACGTGGTCTTCTGCCCTGCATTTTACCATCCAAGGCCTTTCTCGGCAATCTGTCGGCATCCATCCGTACCACATGACCAACCCATCGAAGCCTTTGTACTCTAGCGAACTCTGCAATAGGTGCTTCTTTGAACAGTTGGTAGAGTTCATGGTTATATCTAGATCTCCAGATCCCATTTTGAGTGATGGGTCCAAAGATCTTCCTTAGGATTTTTCTCTCGAAAACCTCTAATCTTCGTTTAGTGCTTTCTGTCAAAACCCATGTCTCGCATCCATAGCATACTATCTGTCTGATGATAGTTTTATAGACCTTAAGTTTCGATTTTCGATGTACCGTCTTGGAGCGGAATATGTTAATCAGGGAAAAATAGGCTTTATTTCCCCTCATTATTCTCTTCTGAATTTCGGCCTCTTCTGTTCCCTCCGTATTCATTTCGACTCCCAGATAAGTACAACTCTTCACTGTTTCAATGTCATCCTCTACTTTGATTTGATTTCTTGTTCGCTTTGTCCGCGTCTGTGTTAGTATTTTTGTCTTCTGTGTATTTATTTCAAGTCCAATCTCCTTGGCCGTTTTTTTCAGCTGCGAATATGTTTCTGCTGCATCATCCACTCTGCGGGACATGAGGTTAATGTCATCCGCATATGCGGCGAGCTGGACAGATTTGTTTGTTAGGAGATTGGCTCTTCCGACATTCAGCTTTCTGATGACATATTCAAGGGCCAGATTGAACAGTGTTGGAGCTAGTCCATCACCTTGTTTCAGCCCTTGAACTATTTCGAAGCTGTCAGTTAATTCGTACTGTATGCGTACAGTTGCTATTGTGGAGTCCATCGTTGCTTTTACTAGTCGGGTATATTTTTAGAGGGAATATTGAAGCTTTCCATGATGTTATATAGCCGGCTTCTATTTATGGAGTCATAAGCCTGTTTGAAGTCGACAAATATATTGTGAACATCAATATCGTGTTCCCAAGCTTTATTAAGGATTTGCTTTACTGTAAAAAGCTGATCTATTTTCGACCTGCCTTGTCGAAAACCGGTCTGGTATTCGCCGATAATATTTTCACATAATGGTTGAAGTCGCCTATTCAGGATGGATGTAAAAATTTTGTAGGCCGAACATAGGAGGGTTATGCCGCGGTAATTTTCGCATTTAAGTTTGTCCCCTTTTTTGTAGATTGGGCAGATAATCCCATTTTTCCAATCGCTAGGAATTTTTTCTTCCCTCCATACCTTAGATATGAGCGCGTGCACCTGCGTTGTTAGATGTTCGCCACCTAATTTATACAGTTCGGAAGGGACATCGTCATATCCCGGCGCTTTGTTGTTTCTTTGCGCCTGTATTGCTTGTTTGACTTCTTTAAGAGTCGGGCTGCTTATTTCTTCGTCTCCTTCCTCGATGTGCCGCAAATCCGAAGATCGTGAGCTTCCTTGTGCTCCTAGCAGAGCTTGGAAATGGCTTTTCCAAACTGATTTTATTTGCGTTGGTTCACTAATTATCTTATCTGTTTGCTTTCTGCACAGACTTGTTCGGGGTTTGTATCCTTCTCTTAGTTGTCGAAGATATTTATATGCCTCCCTTAGATCGTTGCTTTGGAGGTTTTGTTCCATTTTCTGTATCTTATTATTTTCCCATTTTCTTTTTTCTCCTCGACATATTTTATCCGCCCTGCGTCGTAGCTCCTCGAAAAATGTTCTTCTTTCTCTGGTTCGCCTTTCCATATATTTCTTGTGAGCTTCATTTCGTTCGTGTATGGCCCGTCTACACTCTTCGTTGAACCATTCTGCCCTTTGCTTCTTTACCTTTTTACCGATGGTCTTTGTAGCTGCATTTAATACTTTTGTCTTCATTTGTTTCCAATGTTCTTCAATGTCTAGGTTATCTATGTTTATAAGTGTCTGGGTTATTTCTGTCTCGTAGCTCAGTTTAACGTTTTGTTGGCTTAGTTTATCAATGTCTAACTGCTCTTTTATCTGTTCTTTCTTATCTCTGTTTCTTGAGATCCTGCATCTATATTTTGCTTGTACCAGCAAGTGATCAGATCCACAGCATGCTCCTCTTCGACTTTTTACATCTAGGATGTTGGTGGCAGCTCTTTTGTCTATTAAGACATGGTCAATTTGGTTAGTAACCGCTCCACCTGGCATGATCCACGTTGCTTTGTGTACATCCCGATGAGCAAAGAACGTAGAGCTCACGATCATGTTTTTCCTGCTGGCAAAATTAATTAGGAATTCCCCGTTCTCGTTGGTGTTTTGATGGAGTGAGTGTTTGCCGATTATTCCTGCGAACTGTTCTTTGCCTATTTGGGCGTTCATGTCACCCAATATTATCTTGATGTCATTATAGGTATATTACAGACTTGAAAAGGTTCTTTCTTTCCTGGAAAAAGAATCCTTCAAGATGATTGGCTGCCACCAGAAGGAATATGAAGGAGACAATTCTTGATTCAGCATACATTTCATATGATACTGACAGCCTCGAAGAGAGAGAACAGCTAGACATATACTGCATCTGATCATCAGTTTCGATATGATGAGACAGCACAAACATCGATTAAAGGGGCGAGTCATTACTACAGTTTATGTAATATGATTTAGTAAAGGTAGGAAACAAACCAACTTTCTTAACATCACAATGAAAGAATTTAATTCATATAACAGTGGCTAGAACTGTTAAAAAATGGTAACTGTGAAATGAGGGTGTCTTGTTCAGACCATGGACACATTTGTTTTTAAATAATAGGTAACAAACCTATCAAGGAAACTTACTGTTTCTCTTGTAAAACTGACTGGGAAACATATCAAGCAGCCTTGGAATATTATTTAGGCAGGGTAAAGATACAGTGCAATAGATGGCTACTGCACAATTTCAAGATGTAATTAATTACTATTTAAATGGGAATAAGCCACAATTAAAGATTAAAATACGTTTTGTTACGTATATTTGTATTTTTATTGCAATAAACGTATTTTAACCTTAAATTGTGGCTTATTCCAATTTAAATAGTAATTCATTTAAAATTCCACAAGAAAATAGCTTCAGAACAATTTCAAGATGTGATGTCGATATTCAAGGACTATTGACCAGAGATAGCAAGAGATCTCTCTCCTGTTAATAATAATCCTCGACCATAATGTAGCTTCGCCTATTTTAAAAAAATTTAAACTGTTTGTCCTTATGTAGTGTAGTGTAATCTACAATTTTATGTTTATGACATTCTATGATTGTTGGATAGGACGATAGGACAAAACCGACGAACTGCCTCTAAAGATGCTCTAGGAAGAGAAAGTACTTAGGCAAGATTTAATTAATGAATTGTGTTCGATATCTACCTTTTATTTGATCAAAGTTTAATTACATAAATACTTTGTACATGTAGGAAAATGTCCAGCAAATAACATATCACCTCCAGCAAATGTACATGGAAAATACATATTCGAATGGCAATAAGTTTCATAAATCCATAGAGACATGAAAAGAAAATGAATAGATCAGATCGAAGAAATGGGAAGCATCTAATGAAGGAGAAACTATTGAATAATTAAAAACGATAGCTAAAAATAGAGATGCATGGAAAATGGATAAAGGAAGAACCGGAATCCCAAGTGTACACCTAAGAAGGCAAAAGGATACGAGAAGAAAAATATTTTTATATTTGTCACAATAGATAAATTTCAAAACAACTTCGGTGCAAAGTTCTATGTAATATCTTATATTCACGCCCACTCCATTTATTTTTATTTGTTCTTGGATTTTTATAAGATCGACGAGAATATCATTTCAGAAGACATTAAATAAGATAAGAGAAAGGACCCAACCATATCGCATTCCCTATTGTAGTGCAGCATCTTCACATTTAACAATATAGAATATCTAACTATGATTAATTAAATAGGATCAATACAAAAAATGCAAGCGTTACCGTAAGTCGTATGAATTTTATCCATTAAGTTCCCAAATAATCCTCTTGTTTGTTTACCTAAAAGTTATTTATATTAATACATTTATTTATAAACTTTCAGGAAAAATATAATAGGTAGTAACTTTTTAAATAGACAAACGAGATACTGAATACTAGTACCTATTGATCTACTATGCTACTATTATTCCTGTGAACGGCTTGTGAACAAACTGGATAGTTACCAACCTTGTGAACAGGCTGGGTTCCGCTCCAGATACGGAACAAATGATCATCTGCAAGTTGTAAAAACGCTAATAGAAAAGTGTACAGAGTATAACAAGCCTATCTTTCTTATATTCGTTGATTATGAAAAGGCGTTCGATACTATAGATCATCATAAAATGCTTCGAGTATTGGCTGACTGCTGCATTGACTACCGATATATTGCCTTGATTAAAAGTATTTACGAAACTGGTACAGCTTGTGTCCGTCTTCAGAAGATATTAAGAAGTTTCGAATAGAACGTGGAATTAGACAGGGCGATACTATCTCCCCTAAATTGTTTACAGCTGTTCTTGAATATATGATCAAGCAAATGGAACGAGTGGATAATATGGGAATTAATATAAATGGTGAAGATCTGAACCACCTAATATTTGACGATAACATCGTTTTAATATCTGATAGAGTTAATAAAGCTACAAAAATGCTGCACACGCTCTATAAAGTGTCAAAAACAATTGGTCTTAAAATTAACAACTCAAAAACAAAAGTTATGACCAACCTTGTAGTCAGCGGTAAAATTCTGATTAAGAGCCATAGCATCGACCAAGTAATAGCTTACAAATATCTAGGGCATGAGATTCGCCTAGGCCGAGATAATCAGACAACTGAAATACAAAGAAGGATAGGTCTCACATGCTTTGGTAGATTGAATAACATTTTCAAGTCTAGTATCCCAGTTTGTTTAAAAAGAAAGGTTTTTAACCAGTGCGTTTTACCAGTTCTTACATATGGTGCAGAAACACTGACTCTGACAAAAAGAACAATAGATAAAATAAGAGTTACACAATGCGCTATGGAAAGATCAATATTAGGTATTACCATCAGAGATAAAGTACCAAACCTAGAAATAAGAAGAGGAACAGGAGTCACAGATGCAGTTGAAAAAATAGCCAGGGCTAAATGGCCTTGGGCCGGACATGTTGCCAGATTAACGAATGACAGATGGACCAAAAAGATTCTGGAATGGCGACCAAGGCAAGATGCATATCGAAGCAGAGGACGACCACCGACTAGATGGACGGATGATATCAAGCTCATCACCACAAGCTGGATGCAAGAAGCTCAAGACAGAAATAGGTGAAAAATTTTACGGGAGGCCTACGTTCGGCAGTGGACAAACATACGCTAATTGGATGTAGTTCTGCATAAAGGAACCAACCCACATTTTGGCAGTTTTGAGATAATAAAGTTTTCGATTATAAAAATTAGTGTTCTATAAAATGCAAAATAGAACCAACCTATTTATGTGCATAGTCACGCCATCTGTGGGATAGTACCCTTATGCATACAGTAAAACGCGGTTACAGAATTCTACATAAAGGAACCAAACAGGTTGGTTCCTTTATGCAAATTTCATACCTAGTTATTCTATTGTTGGTTCCGGTTGTGTTTACATAAACCGTTATCTTTCAGTTACATTTTTGTGTTAACGAGTGATATCATTATGTCTGTGTCCAGAGGACGATATATGGTGCAGCTAACACAAAAAGAAAACAAAGATGAGGTATGTAATAAGTATTAAAAGCGTGCAAATATAAATTTGTTTAGATTAAGTAAAAATTTGAAACCTAACCTCAATACTTTTTAGGAACCTACCATTGACGGTGATAATCTGTTACAAGATTCGGGTGATTTTTCAGAAGACACTGATGATAGCACTGCTGATGCGAATTATGTACCCTCTTCATCAGATACAGAAGATGAAAATGCCCCGTTGGAAGATGTAGTTAGCAATCAAAGTACTTCTACATGCAGACGGCCAAAGGTTTGAAAACGCAAATATAACAATCAAACACGTGATAGCAGGAAAAAGTTCAAGAACACCAACAAATCTTACGTAAATTATAGAGGTATCCATGTTAATTCCAAAGAATTTGAAAACTACGTGTGCAAGTGTAAGAATAGGTACAGTGAGATGGTTTCTGTGGAAGAACGAGAAAAACTGTTTAAGAAATACTGGGAATTAGGATCATATGATTCCCAAACAAGTTATTTAGGTACACTAATCAGCGAGGAACCAGTCAAGCGTCATTATGGAGTTAGTTCTGGTGATCGGGCGAAACAGTTTACTCGAGTATATAAAATAAGTAGTATTAAGGTTTGCCGGGACATGTTTGTTAAAACGCTCCAAATATCAACAAAACATGTTAATACCGCTCTCGTGAAGATTAAGTCGGACAGTATAGTTGATAAGAGAGGAGCGTATGGTGGTTATAATAAACTTATTAGCAGTACACGTTTCAACGAAGTTATTGACCACATAAAAAGACATCCAAAATATTCCCATTATAGACGGGAAGAAATGCAAAATGCTGAGTATTTAGAAAGCCACATAACTATTGAGAAAATGCATTCTTTGTATTCAGAAGAAGTGGAAAATCCAGTCAGCAATCAAAAGTATAAAAAAATTTTTTATTCAAATTTTATTCTACGGCGTAAACCGTTAAAAAAGGACACCTGTAATCTATGTGACAAACTAAATGCTGCTGTAAAATGTGCTAAGAGTAACGATGATAAAGAAAAGTTTTAGCAGGAACATAAAATACATTTAACTAATCAGGAAGAAGCAAGAAACAGAATGAACAAAGACATGCAACAGGCAAAAATCGATGACAGTTTAGAAGTCCTTACGTTTGACATGGAAAAAACATTACCCTTGCCAAAAATTCCCACGAATATAGCTTTCTATAAGAGACAGATATGGTTTTATAATACTAGTATCTATTCATGCAAATTCAATAAAGGATATTGTTATACATGGTTAGAAGGCAAAGCTGGCAGAGGAGCTCAGGAGGTAGGGTCTTGTTTGCTCAAACACATTGCGCGACATGTTCCTGAATCCACAAAACATCTTATACTTGGCCAGATTCTTGTGGTGGCCAAAACCGAAATATAAAAATTGTACTAATGTTAAAGGCTGCATTGGAAAATCATTTGACATTAGACGATATTTCATTAAGGTTTTTGGTTTCCCGGCATAGTTTTTTAAAAAACGACAGCGATTTTTCAGACATAGAAAAGGCATTAAAGTTACAGCAAATAATTTACAGTGAAGACGATTACATAAATATCATAAAAAGCTGTCGTAAAAAAAAATCCATTACAGATTACGAAAATGAAAACGGAACATTTTTTGGGACCAAAGATACAGAAAAGCTTATCACCAACCGCAAAGTAGATACGTCTGGAGAAAAAATTAATTCGCTTCATTTGAGAGAAATAAAAATTTATAAAGAAAAACCATTTGAATTATTTATGTCAAAAACACACAGGGAAGACTATGTTCAAGTAGACATTTCAAAAAAATCAAAAGGCAGACCTTCTTTAGATAACAGAAGGAATATATTTTCGCCATCGTTAACTCAACTGTGGCCTACGGGCAAACCAATATCGCCCAAAAAGCTTGAAGACATCTCATATTTACTACATCTTAATCCTGAAGACGTTAAGCACCACTATATTACTCTGACAAGTGATAGTAATGTTGAAGATTATCTTGATGGTTACTGTTAAGGTGTGGATTTGGAAAATAAATAGTCGTACTTTACTACTATTATAAAAGGCTTTATTTCCTATAACATACATACTAATTAACTAACCTAACTTAAGCCACCATACTTCTTACTACCACCTACAACTACATGATACTCATTGACATTACTATTATTGTCTGTCATGTCAACCCATGACACTATGGGTGCGTTCCGCTTACTCTTACACCAATATATCTGTGTATACAATATAAATGTATTACATTCTCAACACGCCTCCTTACATTTACATTGTATTTACATTAATTCAAATTTAACATACTTCGAAATTTTTCAAATTTATCTTGGCCCAAGGACTTCGTAAAAATATCTGCAATATTATCATCAGAATCTACTTTAACCACATTTATAACATTTGCTTTAACATAATCATTTACATAATGATAATGAATTTCAACATGCTTAGAATTTTTTGTAAAATTGCCATAATTAGCTATACTAATTGTACCAGTGTTATCTTCATAAACATCAATTGGCTTTATTATTTCAATATCAAATATTTTCAACAATTCTTTTACAAATATCAATTCACTTACTGCTTCTGACAATGCTACATACTCTGCAAAAGTTGAAGCTTTTGTAACGCTTTTTTGTTTTCTAGATTTCCAATAAATTACATTACCAAACAATCTTATTACAAAACCAGTTGTAGACTTTCTATCTAAATGATCACCTGCCCAATCGGCATCCACATAACAATCAATAATACTTACTTTTTCATTTCTGTTATAAAACAATTTTAAATCTTTAGTTAAGCATAAATATTTCAAAATTCGTACAGCATATTTAAAGTGCGTTTCATTATAGCAATTTTGAAATCTACTCAGATAATTTACGCTGAAACTTATATCAGGCCTTGTTGCCGAACTTATGTATAATAGTGCACCAATTAAATTTTTATATTTAATATTTCTTTCACAATGATCAGATTTATCAATTTTTAAATTTACTTCCATAGGTGTATTATACAGTTTACCTTTTTCTAAATTATATTTTTTTCTTAATAATTCAATATATTTATTTTGATCCAATCTCATTTCATGTTTACTAGAATCATAATCAACAGTAATACCAAGATATTCTTTAATTTCACCAATATCTTTCATTTTAAATTTTTCTGATAATAAAATTTTAATCCTTTTAATTTCATTTAAATTTCTACCACAAATCAATAAATCATCGACATAAATTAATAAGTAAATAATATCATTTCCAATTTTATAAACGTACAAACAAGGATCA